TCGATTCTCAGTTAATTGATGGTTCAATGTTTGTCCAAAAAAGAGGTTTTCTTTGAAGACTTGTTACTGTGATTACTATGATTATTGATCATCCAGAGACTTGACAACCCTGTGCCTTTGTCATGCTTTCAGTATGTATTTGGCAACCCTATACAATTGGTTGCACAAATTGTTGTAATTGCCACCTAGACTTGGCTTGGCTTTCACCCAACTGTGGTTTTGGCCTAAACCCCTGCGTGAGTCACTCCCTCCCCCCTTTTTTTGTTGGTTTTTTTTTTTCTATTTTCCAGTAGCGCCTCGCTAGACAAACGTGCCACAAATCGTAGAGTGCAACGCACTCGAATCTGTTGCAAATATTTTTTATTTGCACACTAATAATAATCGCGTATATGGTTGGCATTAAAAACAAATTGTTATGACGGCCTCATCAGATGTACATGATTATCATCATGATGATAATAATGATGATCATGATGATGATCATGATGTTGAGCATTGAACTAATTGTTCGCTCAACCAAAATTTCAATAACAATCCACAATTAAATAGACAATGAATTGAAAAATGTGAGAAGTTTTGAGGAAGATTGTTTGAAGATTGTATCTTTGATTAATTAATGAATTTAAAATTAATTTGTTAAAAACAAAAAGAATTGGTTATTTATGGTGTTGAAGGCAATTAAAAAGAGATTAGTATTTAAAGGAGGTCTTTATTAGGTTTCAAGAGGAGAATATTAGTTGAAAATAAAGCTGTTCTTCTTTAAAAAGATTTCTTAAGCCTCCTAGTAGCTATTTCCTTAAAAAAATAGTTTAAAATTATTAAATTAAGTTAAAGGCAATTAAAAAGAGATTAGTGTTATAAGGATTAGTTTCTATTAGGTTTCTAAAGAGAATATAAATTGAACATATTTCCAAAAATATTTCTTAAGCCTTCTGGTAGCTATTTTCTTTAAAAAATTTCCTTAATTAAATGAATCTTCCCTTTATCTTAAAAACCCATCATCTGTAAAACATTTTTATGTTAATTTCTTGAAGATATAGGCTCTGAAAGGCATTTATTTATAAATCTGTTTTTCAAGTGGTCTTTAAAAAGAAGGAAAATGCTCATAATGGCATTGGAAAATTGATTGGTTTATCAATCAATTATATTTTGGAGATATTCATACAGAGTTTTCTTTTATTTGTTGTCAGCTGCTGTTTGTTTTTTAAGAGGGCGTTGTCTTTTGGTTTCTTTAACTGTAAACTTTGAGAAAAAAAACAAAAAAAAAAAAATCAAAATTTAGAAAAAAAAAGTTAAACAAAAAACGCGAGTCGAACAACAAATCAAATGTGGAATGAATAATTAAACATGATTGCATTTGGTTTTTATTTGACTTTGTCTTATTGTTGTTGTTGCAGCTGAAAAACTGCTGCCAAGAACTACAACAACAACAAGAACAACTACCACTGCAATAACAAGAAAAGCTGTTGCCGGCTTTTCAGCCAACCGAGAGGCCAACAAACCCAAACTAGAACGTGGGTGTTGGAATTGAACACTAAACCCAATTCCACCAATACCCATGTGCATTATGGCGGCAAACAAAAGAAGAACAAGAAACACAAACAAATGCACATACACTCATGGCCCGTGCTGTAGTTTTTTTTTTTTTTTTTTTGAGGTTTTTTCGGCTTTGTTGTAGTTGTTAACTGCACGCGACATGGCTGAAATATACACGCAGCCAGCCACACACGCACACTCCATAGCCAAAATACTAGGCTAGTAATAGTGGTGGCACTAGTACCAGTGGTAGTACTAGTGCTTGTGTAAATTGCATAAGTAAACAAAAAAAAAAACGTAAGATTTAACCGATAAAGTTTAGAAGTTGGCTTGTGAGGTTTTAGGAACTTTGGTTGGCCAAGTTAATAGGGAAATGGTCTTTATAGGGGGGGCTTTAGAAGAGGGTTTAGACTCTAAACTTTAGAGTGAAAGAAATGTTTAGAAATATTAGAAATAGTTACAAGTTATAGGAAACTATAAGTCTTAGTTTTAAACTAAAAGAGAGTTTATTTGAAGAGTTAAACTCTATACAATTTTTAAGAAAAACAAGGTTTTGAATAAAACAAATGAAACTTATGGTAAAATTCTCATAAAAATATATACATTTTTTAGAAATAATTGTAGAAAGAATACATATATTTTTCAGTACCCAGCTTGCCACTAAAATGAACCGTAATTTTTGTCAACGGTAGTTGCACTGCCAAACTGTAAAGTTTTGCAACAAAAAAATCGCACTAACTTGGCCATGCAGGTGGGCGTTACATTTTAGCATTTGGTGCCAAGGGGCGTGGTCCAAACCAAAAAACAAAAAGAGTTCAATGAAACCAAGAAAATAAGCATATTGGTGGCAAGCTTTTGAGAAAAGTAAGGATTTTAAAGAAAAAAGATGTTATATAGAATAAGTATAGGGGTTATAAGAGGAGAATAAGAGGTTAAATAGGTTTAATCGAGGAAGTATTACAAAATAAGGCAAATAAAATTATAAAATAAAAGAAAATATAAGGAAGTAGTAAGCTCTTTATAGTAAAATAGTGAAATTTTACAAAAATTTAAGGTTAACTGTCTTTTAAAAAATTGCCAAAAAATGAACCCAAAGCTTGTATTGCAAATCTCAACAAGAAAGAGCCCCCCAGAGTTGAACTCTTTTTTGCATCTTGAGGTTAAATTTCGGTTAATTTTTTTTTTTGAACATAATTTTTTTTTTGGTGTCAATGACTTTTTTGCGGGGCTCCTCGAGTGGAAGTTTCTTTTTATTGTTGCGGGTGGCAGGCCAAGCCTGAGTAGCTACTGTAGCTTTTGTCGCCACCAGCCACTGCCAGCGTCGCTGTTCTCTGCCGCCGAGCAGCTGGCGTAGCTGCTACCAAATCTGCGTGCACTTAAAAATTTTTGTTTTTGATTTTGTTTGTGGTTTTGTTTTTATGATTTCTCCCCATTAGTTTGTTTTGGCGCCCCCCTTTCTTTTTTGGGAACTTTGGAACCAACTTCATTTGCATTTTGTCGCTTTTTTTTGTTTATTGTTTTATTTGCTTGTTTGTTTGTTGTTTTGTTGGCTCGCTTGTGCCATAAACTGTTATTGTTATGAGCCCCAAAGGATGCCTCGATGCTCTTGTTGATTTTAAATTGCTTGCTCCACAAAACAAAAAATGTTATTTCCTTCCCCAACCTTACCTACATATTTTATTGTGGTTTTTGAGGCCAAACAAACGATGGTGCTTGTTTCTAGTTGCTTTTATAATTTTTAACACTAGTGTAGTAGTTTTTAAAATATTAATTATTTTTGATAAAGTTAGATAACTAAAAAAACCCCTGTTTTGATCATAAAATCTATCAAAGACAATCTAACGACGTCACACATGGCGTATACGTGCTATAGAAACCTCACATTACGTATACGCCATGTATGACGTAGGCTTTGCTAGTTTTAACTAAAAAAAAGAATTATTGTAGATAAAATCAAGAACTGTATGATTGTATGGTTTGATTTAAAAATATTTAAAATATTTCCATTTTTTTTTTTATGAATTTGTTTATTAATTTTCCAACAGACACCAACAGCTGACCACAAAGCTTTACCATTTTCTTTTGGGGGCCTTTTGTTTACTCGGTCATAAATTTTCCAATTTGACTTAAATTGGCTGTTTAATACCCAGCCCCCAATCTCGCCGCCCCCTCCCCCACCATTCTTATGCCATATGCAATCTTTCACAGGCTCGAACGATTGCGTGAAAAATTTTCTTTTTTTGATATTTTTAGCTTTTTTTTTTTTTTGCCCTTGGAATATTTGACACGATTTCTGTTTATTTTTTAATGGGCTTAGTGGTGTGTTGAAAAATTAAACAAAAAGAAAAGCTGAAATTCTTAAAGATTCCCAGTTCCCACATGGAAAAGTTTTTTATTTTATTTTTTTTTTTTAATGCTAGGCCCCCCTCTTGAGTCTTCTTTGCATTTGTTGTTGGTGTATTTCGCTCTCCAATGTCAGCCAGAGAGATCAATAAACTTTTGGCAAATAACAAGAAATGGAAGCGCGAAATAAAGAGACAAGAAAAGAAAACAAATTAAAGAGCATGAAGAGAAGATTACAAGCAAAAGAAAGAAAAGAAAAGAAAAGCAAAAGAAATGGCAGCAAAAGTCGAGACAGATAAAGCCAAAGCCGAGCGAAAGGGAGGCCAAATATTGAAGTTGATGTCTGGTCAGAGCAAACATACATATATCTCTTTATATACTATGCATTATTTATATAATGAAGCATATATACAATACATCATCATAGCCGGACTGGGACTGACTGACTGACTCTGTCTGTCTGTTTTCTTTTTGGCCAACACCACCACCTTCTCCCCTTGTTATTTTTGGCAACAAAAGCAACCAAATCTGCGTCATCATCATTAAAGTTTCTCGGGTCTGTCTGCAGCCGAAAAACACAAATAACACAAGGAACTTTCAATCTTTTTCCAAAAAAAATAAAGATGAAAGACAAGCCAAAGAATTGCAAAATAATGAGGAAAATCTTTGCAGAAAGCTAACAAAAATAGAAATCACCTGATATGTATATTCCTTTTGAACTCTCATATTAGATAGTTTTTTTCCGACTTTTATGTAATAGATGCCCCAAAGTATCATTAATCACGACTTCAATTGCAATACTATGTTAAAAAGAAGAAATATTCATTAATCAAAACTTGAAAGACTTGAAATGTAAAACATAATCTTAAAGGTCGACAATCTAGACATAAGACATCTTACTTTCTTCCCTGTGTTTTCTTTTTTTTTTTCCTAAAAATAATAACAAGCAAATATATATAATTTATTTATATCTGTTGCCTCAATGTTTTGTTTTTCTTTTTTGGCATTTCTTGGCAGCTGGCAGCAGTTCTAAACGCTTTTGAACTTTTGCACTTTTGTGTAAACATAGACCTTATTTAAAATCTTATTTAATTATTTTACTTTTTTTTTTTTACTTTCAGGTGCGTATCCTTGAAGCGACACTGCCTGCCTCAAGTCCTGGATTATTGAGGCAGCCATTGAGTGACGATGATAGTGATGTAAGTCCCCCAACTCACTCATCTAATATGTATAAACAAACATATATATATATATATTTTTTTTTCTACTACCAGCAGTCGGTCAGTCCTCGCGACTTGCTAATCAAGTTGACCTTTTCCGACTAGCATTAGTTATAAATTATTTGTTTCGGTTTCCCTCTAGACATTAGTCAACTTGAATATCTATAAAGCCTATGAATGTCTGTGGAAATAAACAAATAAACCCACGTGGTTGGGGTTGGGTTAGTGGACTCATAGACAATAATGTTATGACATTTTCAAAGCTAGTTGGATAATAGGAAACTTTTAATTAGATACTCTCCATAGAGATGTATAGATACTATCTCAAGCCTTAATTTCCATGGATGCTTTCTTGATCAGCTGATGACAGTTGCTGGACAGATCAAGCTTTTGAATAAAACTCTTCCGATCCAATGGTGGGTGACCCACTTAGGCATTTAATAGATTTCCAAAAACCAGTTCTAACAAGGAAATCAAACACGAAAATAATACAATGACCAAACCCAAACCAAACCCCAAAAAAGAGCCACACCAGAGAGTTGAAGTGTCAATAAATCTGAGCAAACAATATCGGATTTCTTAAATCCACACTGGCCACAAACGGCCATATGTGGCCACAGTTTAAATAAATTAACCAAAAAAAAAAACTAAATGCAGAGAGAAAAAAAATATAAAAGGCGCAAAAAATATTTTAATAGAGCTGTTTTCAAGGTTTTGGAGTGACGACTTAAAGGTTTCCGTCGCTCGGGCTCGAGGCTACAAAAAATCCAAGAAAACAAAACCCAACAAATAAACAAAAATTTGTGATAAAAAAAAAGGTTAAAAAAACACCGTTTCCAGTTGGGTCAATAGACTTTTGGAAGACACTTAAGATGAATTGTGGCTCGGTGGCTTGCTGCTTTTGATTATGAAAATTTATGCCTAACGGTGGATAGGAGAGGCAAAAGGTCAACTCGATATCAGAGGTCAAGCCTCCTGCATTTCGCTGTCTAATAATATTAATGCATTGATTAAGTATTAGTTTTTAATCAATTTTAGAGTCAGATCCCGTGTGGATGTGATTTACGAGTCGCAGTCATAAATTCCAAGCACGATAATCAAATAGAACGGTGTGCAAACTCAAAAGGCCTCAAAATAAAAACAAATAGAGACTGTAAAGAAAACAATACGTGGCGAGAAAAAAATAATAAACCAGAGAACTTAACATTTTAATTACTTTTTTGTGATGCAAGCCGGGAAAAAACCGATAAAAACTCGCCTAACAAGGGGGAATTATTAAGTAATACGAGTCTAACAATAGCTTGCGATTAGAAGCTCTGAAATATATAATCAAATATACATATATATAGAGTTCTCAGGAACTGTAGCTGATTGACTAGCAGCCCTAACTAAGCAGAAACTTTGAACCAAATCAGGATGCAGGGAGGTGGACATTAATCATACGCCTCATTGACCAAGCAACCGGGCCACCACCTGAGCATCGGCCAAGCAATCGACTGTGTCCTTGTTCTGGCTCTGGTTCTCCCCGGGGGCATGTGTCAGGCCAATCAAGGCAGACACAGGCATTGGTCTGGATCCGGGTAATGGCCAGGATATCAGCCCGTCTTTCCTTGCCCTGCAGCCCCTTTCCTGTTTAAGCTTTATCCTGCCCAGGGTGTAAGCCAATTTGCTGGGACCGTGTTAGATTGCCAGTCAGCTTATCTACATCCTTTTGCAGTCCTTAATACCTTTTTTTTTGGATTTACTATGGTGCTGCAGAGGTTCTACAGTGGTCATTGGAAAGGCTTGGATTGGATTGGAAGGATTTTAGAGGAGAATTTTAAAGCATTTCAATGAAAATAAATAAGATTATAATAAAACCAAACAAAATCTTACAAAATCTTTTTTTGAAACACATTTTAGTGTGACCAAAGTTAAATATTTTCTTACCTAATATGTTCAATCCCTACTGCAACTCTTTCCTTTACATTTTTGCCAATTTTTTCCATCTGAACGCTTTCCCAACCATTTTTTGACAGCTAACGAACCGGGGGCAGCCCTTAAGCTCCTCGGGGGCAAGTGCCACGCCCAGCTTATTAGCATGGGCGCTAGTTACGTGGATTAAAGCCAGGGGCGTGGGTCGCAACAGGGGCTTAGTACGCTGCTGCTGCTGCTGCTGCTTGGGGGGATTACCCAATCGATATGTCGGGTCTTTGTTTGCATTATGAAATGTATTTTTTTTCCCTCTGGGGTTTACTTGCTGGCGCCTCCATAGGCCCCTCTGGGCATCCTCCTCCTTCTAAATTGATAATTAAGGCAAGTAAAGTGAGGAGGAGGATGAGAGCTGCCAGCATCATCATTGTCATGGTGGCATGATGGTGTTGCATCCTCCATTGTTCGTTTAGAATTACAAGAGCAGCGAGTGCCTCGAATTTCGCGACATGATTAATATCTGTGCATTAATTAGACGCCTCACAGCCGTCTCATGACTCATCCTTGCAACAAAAATCCACTCCCTTTCCACCACCCACCTCTGTCTGCCACTCATTAGTCTCTTCGTAAAATTTTCTGTGAAAGTTGAAGAACAAAAAAGTTTCAAGAAAACAAAAAATCCATCTCCGAGGGTGTCGCCAGATCAAGAAATAAGATGGAGTGCCATATGTTTTTATAACAACATCCAGCTTAATTAAAGAAGAACTTTGGATGTTGACAAATTTTAATTTGGAAAATAATTACTCCAGACCGGGGGAAACTTTTAATTGTGTTTATTGAAATGAAAGAGTTTTGGTTTTAATTAGTTGGAGAGTTTTTATTGGAGAAGGTAAACAACTCAATCTCAATGGGTTTTAATTAAATTTTCAAACAATTTCCTATAAAAACCCAGTGATTATATCTCCAAGCCCGCCCAAAAGCTATATATTTGATTTATTGGAATCCGAACTTTGGACCTGCATCTTATTGAGTTGTGTGGGCGTTGTTGTCGGCGTTCAGAAATTCAATTAACTTCCAATGCACCACCCACCCACCTCCCTTCTTTTATTTTTTTTGTTGTCTTGTCTAGCAATTTAATTTTTGAAGTCTGTCGCTGGCCTACGTCACTCCAACTGACAGCCTCTGTCAACTGGGCCGAGATTGTGGCTTAGATATAGAGATATAGGGATAGGGGGAGAAAGATGGATGAGTGTAGAGACTTATAGACTTTACGCAATGCAAACAGTGCTATTGCAACTGCATCTACAACTGCATTTGCGCCCACCGACCAAAAAATCCATTAAAAATTTCACCCAGCAACGAACCAGAGGCTTCAAAACTCAAACAAAGATACAGATACAAACACAAATATAAATACAAATACAAATACAAAATATAAACACAGTGACGGCAAAACAAATGCGTATGCAAATTTAGGAAGTTAACAAAACAGCAAACCCATGAGGAAACTAGGCAACCAACGCAAATGCAATGCAAATTTCAGATACAAATATGCTAGCTACCTCGACAATGAATGAATGAATGAATGAATGAGTGAATGAATGAATGAGTAAATGAGGCAATGAGGCAATGAACCAATGAAATGTTGTTCAAAATATTTGAATAATTGACAGGCGAGCCAAAAAGTGCACAAATTTTATTATTTTCTTGCATTTGGTTATGTGCTGTGATTGTTGCAAACAGATACAAATGCCAGGCAACGCCCCCTCATCACAGGTGGGGTGTGGGATGGAGGCTTTATGGTTTATGTAACATCTGTATTATCCAACTGCAACGGTGCCTAATTAAAATGCCCAACAAAAACCAGAGAAAGAAACCATAAATGCAGTAAGCTGTTGCATTAAAAATTTAAAAACTCAATTTGAAAAATTGCATTAACCTAGAAATGTCACAAGAAACACTCAAAGAAATCACTAGTCAGTCTAAGTATAAAAAATCATAGTTTTAGGATATATCTCTCAGTGTATAGTGCTAGTGATTAGTGAGTTTCCCTTACCAGAGGCCAGAAATTGGAAAACTTTTTTGCGCGCAAAATGTCAGTTTAAATTATGCCTCAAAATGGACATCTGAATGGACAGTTGCCTGTGCCAGTTTTTATCTGAAAAAAAAAATGGATTTTCTGGTATTTGTTTCTACCTTTTCTACCTCTGTATGCTTTGAGGGGGAAAAAAAGGGCCAACGATGCGTATGCGTAATATTGCGCATACGCCCCAGCGCCTCTGGTTTCGGTTACTTTTTTCCATTTATTTGCTATTTGTTTTATCGTTCCAATTAAAATGAATATGTGCACTAGATAGAGAAATAAATTGGGAAAAATTCAATTAAACTTAAAAAGCAAATAAAAAATATTTGAAATGAAATAGACCACGCCCATAAAAGTTCATTTTTTTGATGAACTAAGCTTAGATAGATGGGTAAAGGAATGGATTTTGGAGGAGCAAACAAGATGACCGCAGAGTTGCGGCCTGGAAGAGTAATTGTTCTATCTCCACCTCCTGACCACATGGTTCTATCTGTTACTAGTATCTGCCATCTCCGCATATGTGCCTGGAAGGCAATTTTCAATTGAAGTTTGGACAGAAATTGAAAACCTAAAAGGTTTAAGAGGAATTTTAAGTAAACTAATCCCTGGAATATAATATTCTAAAATAATATAACCAGAAAAAGACATCAACCTCTTCCATAAATTACAATTCTCTAGTCATGACTGTCTTTATTCCTCCAGCAAATACCCTAAGCTCATCATTAATAATGATTGCATTTCGAGAATCCATTTGCCACAGCCTCTGGATGTGGATGTGGATGTGGAATGTGGATATAAAAGGAGTAAAGCCCTTGTGATTCGTTAGCCTAAGATGCCGGTCTCAGGACTCCAGGACTCTGGGTTCAGGACCCCTTCAACCTCAACCTCAACCTGCCACTCCCCGTTTTTATTTATCGCCCTGCCATTACAAGGATGCCATGACTCTGTGGTTACTGCATCGGCATCCGGGGTATCCTTCGGCAGC